GTTATGACTATAGTGATTTTATTTTATAATGTTCATATTATAAACCTATAATACCTGGTTAAAAAATTATCCACTGTGTAGTTATATAATTAGATGTTTAATTAAATACATGAAATTTAATTGAGAATAGAAAAGAGCTGACAGACCTTCTGCCAAGTTTGACCTCAAATATTCACAATAAAAATGTAAGTACATATTATTTCAAAATTACTATTTTGAAGAGTTACATTTAAAATGTTAAGTAAGTGAAATATATTTAAAAAATCTTACCTCAATGAGCGTCGTTATTATATCCTTATCATGCATAACATAATATACATTTATTAATTTGGGAATTATTATTTCCCGGAAGACTAAAAAACAAAATATAAGGTAATCATAAAATAAATTGTATTTAGTAAGTTAAGTATAAAGAATATAGATTATGTTTAATGTATGATACATTGATACAGTATAATAACTCTAAGTACTGTATAACAAATGTGGTAAATATCATTAAAAAAATATTTTATTACTGTTTCATTTATAGACTTAACATTCAATTAAGCACCATTAAGTAAATATTCATAAATATCTTTTAATAATAACAATTATTATTTTTATTGTATATCTACTGAACATGACGTTGAAAAATATCGAAAAATTTGCAAACTATTTGATTGTTGAAATTTCTTAAAAAATTATATTTTTATATCTAAGATTTAAATAGGCAGGCAAGTCAGTTCACTAAATTACATGGGCGGTAGGTGTCAAATACTTCACTGTAATGAATGTGTTAAATTTGAATTCAATTATATATTAATCTATACAAAATAGCATTTTGAGCGAAGATAGTCTGTTTGCTTAAACAATTAAGTAGGTATATTATTTCTTTTATACTATTATTCATTATAAAAATATCATCCAAGTTTGGAATGTCTATAAAAACAAATGTTAAATGTTTCTATACATTTTTATAGACCCCCCCCTCGGGCTTTTCGTCACCACATGAGGACACTAAATGGGAGGGGTAGAACGTCATTCCCTCTGTGGATTTCAAATTCAACTCCCCCCCCCACACACACACAAAGTACCCTAGTAAACCCTAGTACCCTAGGATATATCTGCCACTGATATGGAACATTGTAGGTATTAAATTTTCAAAATTTAACTCAACGTAACTAAAAAATAAATGTGCCCACTTATTTTTATTATTTTTACAATACAAACAGAAAAATGTATGTAACGTGGGATCTAGTTTTATATTTAAAAGCTATTTCAATAAGCAAACAATTTTGCTTATAATCGACAAAATTAAAAAAAAAAAATTTATTATATCTATAAAATATAAACATCTCCAAAAATGTCAAAATATTACTAAAAATTAATTTTATGCATAGAAAATAACAAAATAAAATATATTTGGTAACCACTTTAAGTGTCTATAAATATAGAGACTATAAATTATATAATTAATATTGTACCTATAATTTATTATTGTATTGATTATAAAATGTTATATTTGGAAAAAAATAAATATTTTTTGAATTTTTTTAAGTATTTAAGATTAGTAATTCTCAAAAACAAAAAAAAATTGATTTTGTCATAACAGTTTTTTGTAAAAATTCATGTTTTTACTTGGAGCTTGTGCTATTTTTAAACATTTTATATTAAAATTTTTTCTTCAATTATTAAATGTTGATAACTGGCTCAAAAAGTTTGAGAATATAATTCTAAACTTCCTCAGAAGTATAGCAATTTCAGTATATTAACGATCAATATACATATATTATTTTTTGTAAGCATTATAAATTAATAAGTATCCGGCACTGGAGTAACTGGAACCACTGACACCCTTAAAAATCATTAAAAATCGAACACCTGAAATCCATATAACCCAGGACTGTTTTTTTTTTTAAACACCTAAATAACCAAAACCCGAATAATTTTTCTTTTTACAATTTTCATATTATTGTGTATGTTTTTTATGCAGTTCAATTTTGTAGTTAATGTTTATTTAATAATTCAATATTAGTATTAGGTACAATTATTAATTATTACAATCAATTATCGGGAAAAACTATAAATATATTTTTTTAATTTATCCGAAATAAAATTCAATTCTTTAATTAGGTTTTGATTAAATCAAATTGCCAAATATTAAATTATTTAATTTATAATTTATTACTTTATTAATATAGAATACATTTAAATATATTCAATAACAATATAAAATATTGACGAGTCAACGTGTGGTTGGGTGTGGTCTAATGTCAACAACTACTTAACAGTGACCGAATACTTAAATAATATTATTCTTTGTTCTTCCAAATACAATGTTTTCAGAAAAAATGTATTGATTCTACTGTATAATTATCAATAAAAATTACATTAGTAGCAATTCAAATATATAATATAATATTATAGCCTGGGAGACGGAAGTTTTCGCTCAGAATCGTTTTTCGTCTACAATGATTTAATATCATTAAATTCAAATTTGACCCATCCATTAGGACATTACCCAGTTGAGTAGCTTTTTCTTCGTATTAACTAATATTCTATCTGTTATCAGAATAATATCAATTATAATATAATTACTGGAATTGTTTTCTTTAAGTACATCTATTTCCTTACAATCTTGTGGCATAGCTAATAATTCATTTTCATCCAAACATGTGTGTAACATGTCCATTGTGATTAATAATGCTTTATAGTTTAATAATCTATCCTAAAAAAAATTTAATTAATATGTTTCTAAGAAATAAATTAATACTGGCATAATACTACCAAAATACGAACATATATATTTTGGATTAACTTAGAATTCACTCAATACAAAGTAACAAATATATTAATTGTCTTACTTATAATATTATATAGGTACCATAATATAATAATATATGCATTATGCGTGCCATTTTATTTTTAATTTTGACCATACAATTTGCTTCAATCATTAATACTGATGGTTGTTTTAGTGGATACCTAGTATTTTTAGTCTACTTTAAAATTTGGGCTAGTACTATTTTAAATAATTGAAAAGACTTCAAGTTGATATTTTCATCAAATATGATTTTAATGATATTATTTGTCTCTGAGACTGTAAAATTACCTAATTTTCAGTACCGAAGTAGACCCAGGAGAGTTAACCATCAGAAATCGGAAGTGTTTACAGGTCATTAAAGTTGGGATTCGCTAGCCCCGACAGGCATTCCACTCTAAATTTTATACTGTGATCTTTGAAAAGTATTTGATTAGTTTTTATTTAAACTATTTCTAAATAGTCTCTACGAAAGGTAAAGTTATAATTGCCCTTACTTCGATGGATAAGACTGGCAACTGAATTGCATAAATTACATTATCTAATTTAATCTTCTTCGTTTTTCCAAAACTGGCAAGAAGTAAGTAATTGTACATCAAATTATATTTGGTATAAATAATATCATTATTTTTAATGGAGTCATAATGGTCAGTTAAAGACTTTTCTAATGATTTCTTCTTAGATTCTTCGAGGTCCTAAGAATGATATAATAACATATAATATTATTTAATCAAAACTAAATACAATATGTTTCTTGTAGAGCAAGGTTACTTCCAATGAAAATGTGTTATTTTCATTTTAGTTTAAACTAACTAATGACCTTATAAGAAATATATGACAGGATTACAATACTCAACGGTAATGTAAAGAGTTTAAAAAACTGAGTTCTATAACAATTTATCCATCAAATATTAAGTTGTAGAAGTAAACAAGTCTTATAAAATAAAGTCCTAAAAAATTAAGTAAAATATAAAATAATATAAAGATCTATAATGAAGTAAATGTTATAATATCGATTGTGTGAAGGGCAACCCGATTGTGGCAGCCCTGCAATTTGACGGCTCAGATGTGGCCGTTATTTATAGTTGCCCGCGCTCGTACTATGCTGGCTCAGGGTAATTGCCGTGCGATGGTAAGTGGACTGTAAGGCGGAAAAGGTAATAGGAAAATAGATGACAGGAAAAATATAGTTGTTTTCGTATGATAATATTACAACAATTTATTATAATGATTCGGTAGAAAATAATCTTAAGAACTAGTGTTAGTAAAAATATATGAGAGCGTTCACAATACGAACGTCAAAAATTCTATGACATAAAATATAAATCATAGGTAGTACCCATAGATAGAAAAATGGATGAGCCATTTGTGCTTATCGTACTGGAACAAACATGAAAATATTTTGAGGTTATAGAGGTGTCTAAACAGAAATGTATATAATATATATATATAATTATTGTATGTAATTTATGATATTAAGAATTCTGCCAGAATGAGAGGAAATTATATAAAACAGTCTTTCTCTCTTCCCCATTCCGGCACACTTCCCTCTATTTTGTTATTATAGCCATGGCCCATCCATTCTTTAATATCTATCCTCGAGTAACGGAAGAAGGTAAACAAATTAATCATCTGTACGACCAGATAACGACGATACTGATAGCGGGTGTTGACAACCGATGGTGCTGCCGTTGTCCCGGCTTGACGATAGTGGGCAGATGGATGTTGATCTGGCTGCGACGACACACCATAACGTCGACTTGGACAAAAACAGCAAGGCTAGCGAACACGGCGGATCCTACTCTGCACACATCGGAAGAGCGATAAGGGTAGATTAACCGTGGTTTTTGCATGAGCGGCTACAAAACGCGATTTGTGTGTGCCAACGAGGGGCACGACAAGGAACAGCTACCACAGATGGCTCGGGCCACGGACTAAGATATAATTTACTGCAAACGAGCAGCTTATCAGTGGCCTTAAAAGTATGTATAAGAGGCAAATGCGAGGAGTCGCAATCATAATTGAGAGTTTACATCTGTATAAAACATGGCCTGAGATACAACATTTGACGCTAAATAAAACCACTGTTAGCGTTGAAAACATTTGATAATGAGTGTTAATGATAACAGAGGAACTTTTTGCTGGCCGTCAACACCCACCCACCCACCATGTTGTTTCCAGTCCATTATATCTTAGTGATTTAGTCTTGGTAATCATCTAACAAGATGGCGTTATTGACGACGCACCGGTTGGCGATAGTATCAAAACTCCAGCATACGGAAAGAGAAACTACGATGATTACCAAGACGGCTGAGAAACAGCTACTGAAGGCACAGCTACGGGCTAGCTTGCGGTGGGGCAAAGACTGTCGGTGGCACACAGATAACGGTTCCCTCTCCGGAGATATCGGAATGGTCGAGTGGTGTTTGTGGTAATGATCATAACGGGTGGCAAAGTCCAAACCAGGCATCTCGACATCGATTCAGGGAAAACTATTTTCAACAATTTAAATAACGAAGTAAAGAGTCTAATAAAAAGTGTATGTGAAAGTCTAATAATACCAATGATATAATTGATATAATTAATAAAAATCAAATAAAAAAGGCAATAGATAAAATAGTTAGTGATCTTGATGATAATGTGTGTATTAATATAATCATAAAAAGTCAATATGTCTAACATAATATTGTATACTATATTAATATTTACCTAAAGTATCATATGTAATGCTGATGTTAATTGTTAATTGTAAAAACCAATTATTTAAATTAAAAGAATTAATGAATATTTAACTAAACTTTAGAGGACCATAGTTGATAAATAAGAGAACCAAAAATGATGATTTGACTATCAACATTTTCAGAAAAAAAAGCTTTACCAGAATCCATTTAAAAATATAGTAGTTATCATTTGAAAAAATAAAGTTGCGACAAAATATGGAAAAATCACGAAAATTAGCAAATTATTTTGAGTTAAGAATTCGTGAAAATCTTTCTTTTTAAATCTAAGATTTGAAAATGAAACACAAGATTCCTTATAAGATTATCTACCTTTATCAAAAGAAAAAAGTCTATAAGAAAGTCAAATTACATTTTTATGAGCTTTTGAAATTCAAATTTTTACAACATTGAATATTCACTCGATTTCTCATGTAGCGATTTCCTTATTTTGTTGTAATTCAAAAACGAATAACTGTAGATACATGAAAATTAAACTGAATGTTTAAATTAGCATTTCCTATACACCATACAATTAAAATATTTTGACTCTTTTTGAGCTGTTTACGGACATTTTCAGCTTTCAATTTCTTTTAGTTTTTTTTTCTATAAATATCAATAAAGTTTTATCTGTTGGGCCAAAAAGTGTAAAAATTTAATACAAGGCTCCTGATATATTGTTACAATAGCAGTTGAAAAATATTAAAAATACATATGCACAGTTTTTTTTTATAAGCATTTAAAGATCGAATTTTGACAAAATTTATCAAAATCTAGAAAATTATCAATCATTGTAATTAATAAATTATAAAATGTTCAGTTTTTATAGCTAAGAATTGAAAATTCAACACAAAGGTTTTCATAAATAGTTCATACTGTAACCAAAAAATCTAAAAAATATATGAACACAGTTATTTTTTACAGACATTTTAAATTCAAATTTGGACGAAATTACATATTAAAAAACCTAGAATAACTATTTTAGTTATTTTGTTGTGATTAAATAATATTATTCGTGGGTACTTGAAACTTCTAAAGTGTACTATTATATATCTATGATAGTATCACGATTTTTGTTGATGTTATAAGTACCTAATGGATATTGTGATATGATTAATTTGGAATTTATTATAGGTCAATTTTTTGTTTAATACCATAGATATGTATATAATATGTATATGATATGTCTTATACATAGACTGACATACCGTCTCCACTCAGAATCGTTTTTCTTATACAATGATATTATATCGTTGAATTCAAAGCTAATATCATCCATTATATAGTGACCCACTTGTAACCTACTATATAGCAGAGCGACACCCACTTGCCCACCTTTTTGAACTTTAAATGCTTATAAAAAAAAACTATGACTAAGGATTTTTAATATTTTTCACCTGCCTTTGAAACAATATACTAGGAGCCTTCTATTAAATTGTCAAGCTTTCGCAACCAACAAATAAAATTTTATTGATATTTTTAGAAAAAAAACTAAAAAAAAAATGTAAAATGAAAATGTCCCTAAACAGTTCAAAATAAATCAAAATGTTTTGAAAATTTTATCGTGTATAGAAAATGCAAATATAAACGACCAGTGAAAATTTCATGTATATACGTTCATTTGTTTTAGAGTTACACCATAAACCAAAATCGATTTTTTGGAAAACAGTTCCTGTTTTTCCTTAATTTTTCTTTTGTTTTTCACGGCGCTTTTGAAAACTATTGAAAACTTTTTTTACTTTTGACCCCCCAAAGTACCAACTAGATTCACTTTCCTATCAGAAAAGCTACTGTTGAAGAAAATCCAAGCACTTTTACTTTCCTAAATTGTGATGACAGACACAAAAAAAAATAAAAAAATGAAAAAAAAAAAAAAAATACACATCATTGTAAAATCAATAAATTCATCGTTTCACTCAGAATCTAATAAAAAATTAAAAAAACACGATTTTTTTGTTTTTTTTTTGAAACTCCATATCTTTTATGATCGATCCATAACAATTGTTAAAAAAAACCTCAGGTACAATGAAATAAGATACACCGGTATAACAGCAACCGACGCGTATCTACTTAATTCATTGAATCCAAAAACCACACAGCTTAGATAAAATACCGGACAAGATCCCTAACGTTAGCTGATTGTTTAAAATAACATAATTGTTCTGATTCTTATATCCAAAAACCGTTTTATAATGATATTCACATTATTACTCCACAAACTAAATAGGTAGGTATACCTATCAAAATAAAATTTAAAATGTGACTCTTAAAACCAATAAAATGACTTGTTCAACTTAATTTTAATTAGTTCACTATAATCTAAAGTTAAAATTTTATTTTACATTGATTTACAATGTGGACTTTCCTTCTTTAGATTAATTATAGGCAAGTATGTAATTATAATAATATAATATAATATAAAAAGTGTAAATGTTTAACAATGGATATTATACAAAATAAAAAGGTTTTGTACATCAATAAGATAAAGGTTTCAAATTTCAACAAATATATTATACATATTTAATCATATTAAAAACTTGTACAAAATATATACTCACTACCCCAGATATTTGTATAGTTGTACCTATTACTATATAGGCTTAAATGAATAATAAAAATAGAGTGAAGAAAGAACACGTCTTAAGCACTATCAATTATAGTTGCTTAAAACTTAAAAGTTCTTAACTATAACAGTATAACATAGCTACATAGATACTAGTTAATATATTGTTATAATGTCAAATTGAATTAATACCACTGCTGACATTATCTTTGATTCATTGCTAATCTTGCTAAAAGTTGTTGACAATCAACAAATAACATCATCCATCTAGTCTTTAGATTAAAGATAGTATTTTTTATTTCAATGTACAATAAACCAATAATGTGTGTACAAAAACCGCACCTTATACCTACCAATCTTTTTAGATTCGCCCACATAAATATCTAATTACATATTGTACACAAAATTAAAAACAAGAATTATTATGATAACAGATATTTTGTTCCATTTGTGTTTAGGTATTTAGTTGATAATAGTGTTAATCGATTATACATACATTGTCTAAAAAATATTTCCTATAAAATAATACTGATGCACTGGAGTGGAATTCCTTTATTGGATTCATTGATAAATAATCTATTGTTGATACATCGCTGATAAGTTCAGGTCTCATCTCAGGTGTAATATCTATGAATATGTCTTGTTTCAATGATTCACATAGGCATAACCACGAATTTAAAACCTTATCATTTTTATCATCTTTGAACTGCTGGTCACGAACAGAATTACAAAATTTTATACCTGAAAACACAAATCATATTTTTAATAAAATAATCAAAGATTTTTTTTTTAATTTACCTATATATTTGTATAATATGTAGGTAGTATACCTATAAATAATATTATAAACTATAATATTAATAAATGGTAAGACAAATATTTCCTAATATTTCCTTTCTGTTTGGGTGTTATAAATCAAACTCAAATTCATTATTTCACATTAATAATCAATATATAGAAATTAATATTGCTTTAGACTTAGATCATAAAATTCATAATTCTGTAATATATTTGTACATTTGCTACAGATGTATGGATTTTAAGAGCTTACGATAAAAGTCACGTCCCAAATTATAGATATCAAATTCTATATAATATCGTGTTCGAATCGCATCAATACCATACATAGAACTCAGGAGAAATATATATCTTACTATAATACTGAGTGTTAAATATATAAATCAATAAACGTAATAAGTACGTTTACACCTACGCCGCAGTGACTTCGAGCATAGAACTCAACCCCGATCCACGAATACAACTACATACTCAGGTAAGTTAATTATAATATTTCATAACATATTTGTGCATAAACATTATTATAAGATACGAAATATAATAAAGTAGATAAGTAGTGAATAATTATACGTACCCTTTAAACTAATGAAATAAAACCACTAATTTTATTTTATTTTAGAATATCAACGTTAAATAATACCAGAAAGTGTAAACACTTATTATGTACATCCATGCAATATATTAAATATTTTATTATTTAAAAAAACATTAATTTATTATACTGTTTAACTTAATTAACTATAGTAGCAGGTGTTTCGTAGTTGGAGCTAGAGTTAGCTGAAGAAAAGCTTAAGTCAACCGAACGAGTGGTGCAAGCAAGTTGTACGTCATCATAGTGGATGACCTATATCGTACCAAATGACTTGTTGATTCACGAGGAAATTATGGATCATTAAGACATCTCCAATGAGATCGCCTAATACTGCAGCCCTGAAGCTTACCTCTAGATCCACTATCGGAAATCGGATCAAAATTCGGAAAACTCCGTAATATTTCGGGTTCGACCTGTCTGCCATATTGACGATCATTGATTCTTAGCTAAAACTCCGGAAAAACTACTTTGCCACCCATGGTTTGACTTATGGCCTCCCCAATTGTGAGTCCATAGCGGTATTACTGCCCCGAGTGAAAACTTAGTTCTATGGCCTGTAACGAAACATTCGATACTTGAGTTCTCCCCATTGACACCGTTTAAATGACTGGAAAATCTAACAACCCGGTCCGTAGATCAAAAAGTATTCTTTCAACTCAAACTTTGAGTGTCTATCTAAGTTTCTCCTCTTGTACATTTCCCATGATTAAGGAACACACTACTCGTAAAAATCTTCAAATGCGACTGGACAAATTAATAACTGCTGTGTTAACTTATTTTGTTCCGCATCACTTGAAATA